ATAAGAAAGCTTATTAAAAACTAATAAATCGAAATTACAACAGAAGCGGAGGGAAGGCCCTCCTTGTTTAGTGCGGGATCTTTTGATAGCTACAGGATGCTTCGCTCGATGCTTGTGTCGAGTCTGCTTCCCTTGGACGGTTCGAATGAGGTTGCTAGAGAGCTTCAGTACGCAGTAGAAGCTCAAATTGATCGGGGCCTTGAACGAGGAGAGGACGCTTCGGTACACAGAACGTGCAAGGAGCTTGTCGTCGACTCTTTTAAGAGTCGAGAGCTAGTGGTTCAGTTAACTGATTCAGCCGCGAGCTGGTCGCCGGATAGCTGTAACAGTTGGGTCTATTCTTCGTGATTTGGAAGAAAGATTGAACCGCTGAACTTCTCAACAAGAGCTCACTTGGAACCTCAGCTGGACTCTTGAACTTTCTTAACAAAAGCTCGGCCTTGAACTTTTTTGATCCAAAGTTCATCGACCTTTGAACCTCTTGGCTGGAAGAAGTTCTTAAAGGGTGGAGAGATGGCGTAGATACTCCTTGAATCACGGGATATGACCATGTTCTGTTGGAAGATGTCTTGCCGCCTCTCGGTACCATGAGTGGTCATTCGAGGGGTTGTGTTTTACGTGCTGTCACATAGAATGGGAAGGCCCATCTTTGTACGTGAGGTAACAGCCGCCCACTATTCGAGTGGATTTGACCAGTATTGATGAACCGTATTTATGAGCTCGCAGGTTGATTTGGCGTCTGTCCGATCATTCGTACTGTGTGTGGCCGTTCGCACCATTTCATTGGACGAAACAGCTTCTCCCACTGTGGTTGCCATCTTTTGTATGTGTGAATTTGGATCTTCCCGAAAACAGGGAATTCGTTTGTATTGATAAGAAAGCTTATTACAAACTAATAAATCGAAATTACAACAGAAGCAGAGGGAAGGCCCTCTTTGTTTAGTGCGAGATCTTTTTGGTAGCTACAGGATGCTTCGCTCGATGCTTGTGTCGAGTCTGCTTCCCTTGGATGGTTCGAATGAGGTTGCTGGAGAGCTTCAGTACATAGTAGAAGCTCAAATTGATGGAGTTCGAATCTCTGGGTTTGACGGCAATCGGGGCCTTGAACGGGGAGAGGACGCTTCGGTACACAGAGCGTGCAAGGAGCTTGTCTTTGACTCTTTTGAGAGTCGAGAGCTAGTGGTTCAGTTAACTGATTCAGCCGCGAGCTGGTCGCCGGATAGCTGTAACAGTTGGGTCTATTCTTCGTGATTTGGAAGAAAGATTGAACCGCTGAACTTCTCAACAAGAGCTCACTTGGAACCTCAGCTGGACTCTTGAACTTTCTTAACAAAAGCTCGGCCTTGAACTTTTTTGATCCAAAGTTCATCGACCTTTGAACCTCTTGGCTGGAAGAAGTTCTTAAAGGGTGGAGAGATGGCGTAGATACTCCTTGAATCACGGGATATAACCATGTTCTGTTGGAAGATGTCTTGCCGTCTCTCGGTACCATGAGTGGTCATTCGAGGGGTTGTGTTTTACGTGCTGTCACATAGAATGGGAAGGCCATCTTTGTACGTGAGGCAACGGCCGCCCACTATTCGAGTAGATTTGACCAGCATTGATGAACCGCATTTATGAGCTCGCAGGTTGATTTGGTGTCTGTCCGCTCATTCGTACTGTGTGTGGCCGTTCGGCGTGCTTGGAACACTGTGCCTTCTCCTTTTCCGGTCAGGGGAGATGGAGAAGTAGGTGCACAGTACTCGAGTGGGCCTGGCCACCTTGCCGAGCGCCAGCGTCTCCGGCTCCCGATTCGGACTGGTGAGGTGAACCGCATTTATGAGTGTTCAGGTGGATCCGACACCTGTCCGATCACTCGTACTGTAAGCGGCCATTCGACGGGCCTGGAGTACTGTGCTCTCTCTCCTCTCAAGTCGAGAGGGATGGGAAAGCCTGTCCCAGCACGTGGGGCAGCGGATACCTAGCTGTACTGGCGGCCTTGAGGTTTGCAGGCGGATTTAACTTTGGACTCGGGCAGGCGAGTTGCGTGAAAGGCAAACTTCTGCTATTCCAATTGATCTCAACTCGTGCAGGCGAGCCGATCATTCAGGCAAATCTGGAACCGAGCACATTTGATGACCATGCGGCTCAGGCCTGTGCTAGGGAATTGTGCAGGCGACTTCTTGCAGGCGAATTTCCCGTGGGCTCACAGAGGTATTATTTACCGTCTACAAGACCCCCTTCAAAGTTTTCAGACCTAAACCGGCTTGTGTGGGGTCTGGAATAATTTGAATGAAGAAAATTTTGGCGAAGCAAGCGCCTTTGGGTTTCTTTTAGGATTTTTAGCAAACCCTCAGCTATCAACGGGTTTGATGTGCCTTTACCGATCATCGTTTGAATCGGGCTAGCCGTACTATTCCCCTCAGTATGATGAGTTGTTGAGCAGTTTCTCTTAGGCTTAATGCTAAGATTTCTGCTCTAACCCTTAGCCGTCTGAGGCGTGAGTTTTAACCGTTCGAGCGAGGTCATTCTACTAGCTTGGTTCATAATTTTACCTTTAAAGGCGAATGAGTCGTCAAGGCAAAATTCGTCTTTGAGAGCCAAATTCCGTACGACTCGTGGGGTTAAGCCAAATATTCGCAGGCGAGATCCCACCTTTTTGGGCGGAACCAGATCTGATAGGAGATGAACCACACGTCTGCTGATAGGGCTTCGTGCCTCCCAGCTAAGGCGGCGCGGTCCCGTCAGGTCGTGGTGATCGTGATTTGACGGTTGTGACGTCAGCTTCGTATGTTTCGCCCCACGATGCATCATGGCCGTGGTTTTCGAACTTAGCCGTTAGATCCAGTCGTGGGTTTTGGTTCGGGTCTCGGGCTTTGACCGGCCCGTTCCCCTTTTCAATGGCTCTTTCGCAACTGTAGAACGAGTTGTACAGGACAATCTGGGCCGTCGATTTCGATCGTGGCCACGTCTCTGGAACGCGAGTGTCTTGCCTTGCGAGTGCCATCGTGGCCACGCAAGTCCTTTCGCCCTTAAATAGGTTTCGTCCCCCTCTTCTTTTTTGAAAGTTACTGTGCGTGAAAACCTCCAAAAAGAGAAAGAACTCCCGCTTCCTTTCTGCTTCCTAGACATGGCGCCGAAGTCCAAGAGATGCGTTGCAAGAGGGGGAGGTCCTGGACGATACTCCGACCGCCTGACCGTCGGTGTGACCGCCAATGTGCCTGAGACGCGCTTGGGTAAGTTGAAGAAGTTTGCTTGATGCCCTTGTGTTGGTTACCGATGTCGGGCCAGGAAGATGAGCACTGCTCATTTTGCCTTGGTGGACTATGTTGTCTTTTGGCAGTCCCTGTGATCTTGGTAAAACTGCCCCTTTTCAGGCGGATTTAACCTTTATTCGCATCGGGTGATTCTAGCCTTTACAGGCGATATTGGTCTTTATTAGGCGAAGGCGAACTCGTTTCTTGACAGGCGAGTTCGACTTTTGTCTGGTAAAGGCGAATGCGGCCTACCTGAGATGCTAGTCTCTCCTGTTTTGAGAGGTTCACCAAAACATGGAGCTTAGCTCAAGAAGTGGGTTTCGCCTAGACTGATAGGCTTGCCTGATCTGAGCGATTCGCCTGATCTGAGCGGTTCGCCTAATCTGAGCGGTTCGCCTGTACGGGTAACCTGGCTCAAGAAGTGGAGCTCGCCTAAACTGTTGGGCTCGCCTGATCTGAGCGGTTCGCCTGTATTGGTAATCTGGCGAGAAATGGAAGTGTAGGAACAGTTTTACCTCTTATACCAGTTGGAGGATGTGAGGGCCAGTTTAGACTCGTGCACTCGTGGGAGTTGGTGAAGAAGAACTAGGGGTAGTACTTCTTCAGATATTTGCCGTTGATGGGCATCATGATCTTATCGCCATTTGGCTTGACGAGGCGGTACACGCCATTTGAGTAGACTGTCTCTACTACGAATGGTCCTTCCCATTTAGACTGAAATTTGCCCTTCTTCTTGGAAGTGAGGATCATCGGTCGGCGAACGGCCAGTACCAGTTCCCCTTCCTTAAAGGTTCGGCGCCTGACTTTCTTGTCGAAAGCTTTAGCCATTCGGGCTTGATAGAACTCAATGTACTGTTGAGCCTCTAATCGCTTGTCGTCCAACGCTTCAAGCTCTGCAAGCCGACGTTGGTGATTATCCTCAACCATAATCCCCATTGCTAGGGCGACACGGAGGGACGGGATTTGAATCTCCAAAGGTAACACGGCTTCACAGCCGTATACCAACGAATAGGGTGTGCTGCCAGTCGGTGTGCGAACCGTTGTGCGATATGCCCATAAGCTTTCGCCCAGCTTTTCATTCTAGTCGCGTTTGCTAGTGGAGGTTAGCTTGGTCAAAATCTTGATGATTGTTTTGTTGAAGGCCTCGGCCAAACCATTCGCCGAAGGGTTGTAGGCCGTGGATGACAGGTTTTGTATTCGAAACTTGTCACAAAACCTGGTGAACGCATGGCTGACGAACTGCGTGCCGTTATCATGAATGATATGCCGGGGTACGCCGTATCGGTAGATGACATGGTGTTTGATGAATTTGATCACGTCATTAGTCTTGACCTCTCTTAAGGGGATGGATTCGGCCCATTTAGAGAAGTAGACGGTGATTGCGAGTATGAAGCGATGACCTCTCGCCGATGGCAGGGATATTGGTCCGACTATGTCCATCCCCCACGCTTCGAATGGCCAGGAAGCTTTCGTCGGGTGCAAGTCTTCGGGAGGTTGGTGCATATAGTTGGCGTGGATTTGGCATTCGTGGCAGCGCCTTGCGTAGGCGACTGCGTCGATAACCATCCCAGGCCAAAAATAGCCTATCCTCCGCAGGTGGTCCCAAAGCTTAGGTCCGGGTTGGTGAGCCCCACAAGTGCCGCTGTGGGCCTTTCGTAGGGCCTCCTGTGCTTCTGCCTTTGAGAGGCATCGAAGCAACAAGCCGTCGTATGACTTCCGATATAGCGTCTTGGTTGTCGAATCGTAGTAGAACCTCGAAGCACGTCATCGGACAGACTCTCGCTCTCTTGCGTCTTCGGGCAACATGCCGTACAGAATGTAATCGACGATTAGGAGGCGCCAGTCCTCCGGCTCGGGCTGATCCGGGACCTGATGAGCGGTGTTTGCCTCTGGGACATCTTTCGGACGAAAGAGCTTCTGGCTTGTCACAGTGACCCATTGGGACGTCCCCAGCGGTTGGGCCAGGTTGGCTGCCAGGGAAGCAAGGGCGTCCACATGCGTGTTCTTGGAACGTAGCACGTGTTCGATGTGGAAGCTTTCGAATGACCCCACCAGCTTGATGGCTGCTTTGTGAAGTAGGATCAGATCGTCATTTCTGACCTCGTACTCGCCAGTCACTTGCTTGACGATGAGCTGAGAGTCGCCATATGCCTCGGGGCGCTCTATCCCTAATTCTTTCGCTAATTCGAGCCCGATGAGTAACGCATTGTACTCAGCCACGTTGTTGGTGCATGGCTCTGTTAAAGAGAAGGCTCGGGGCAGCACGTGGTTATGTGGAGAAGTGAAGACCACCCCCACTCCTGCAATCATAGAGCCGCTCGCTCCTGCGCGAGACGCGCCATCAAAAAACATTTGCCAAACCCCTGATGACGAAGTTATGTTGGCTTCGGGGGGTTCATCAAGCAAATCTTCAAATAGGTCTGTCTTCGCTGCCAGCGGGTGACTAGCCATGAGATCGCAGATGGCCTGTCCCTTGACTGACTTTTGTGGCATGAAATGGATGTCGTATTGGGACAACAGAAGTGCCCATCTGGCCAGGCGCCAATTTAGCGCCGCAGGCTGCGTCATGAAAACTCGGATGGGGTTCATCCGGGAGATGATGTGGATTGTCTGGCTTACCAGGTAGTGTCGCATCTTTTGGATGGCAAACACCAAGGCCAGACATTCCTTTTCGATCATTGGGTAACGCTGTTCGGCGCCTTGCAAGGTTCTACTTAGGTAGTAGATGCCCTGTTCGTAGCCCGCGTCGTCATTTTGTGCTAAGAGGGCGCCTAGAGAATGCTCCATAGCCCGTATATAGATGAGGAACGGCTTCCCTGAGACGGGAGCCGCCAGGATAGGCGGATTTGAGAGATAATCCTTAATCTCTTCAAAGGCCTGTTGGCAAGGCTCATCCCATATGAAGGAAGTGCCTTTCTTCATTAGCTTGGAGAAGGGTTGACACTTACCCGAAAGATTCGAGATGAACCTTCGGATGTAAGCCAATCGTCCTTGAAGGCCTCTTAGCTCCTTGAGATTTCGGGGTGGCCGAAGCTCTTGGATGGCTCGCACCTTATCTGGGTCGATCCGCATTCCTTTCGTCGTAACGACGAAGCCAAGGAATTTGCCGCTGGACATCCCCAAAAATGACTTAGTGGGATTCATCTTGAGTTGATGAGTCCTCATGAGCTCGAACATCGCCCTCAGGTCTTGGAGGTGGTTCTCTTTACGGCGACTCTTCACAACCAGGTCGTCTACGTAGCATTCGACCATCTTCCGGAGGTAATCCCGAAAGATCAAACTCATGGCACGCTGGTAGGTTGCGCCTGCGTTCTTGAGTCCGAAGGGCATAACAGTGTAGCAATACACCCCCATCGGAGTTCTGAATGCAGTGTGTTTTTCATCTTCGGGGTGCATTTTGATTTGATTATACCCCGAGAAACCATCCATGAAGGACATCCTCTCGAATCCGCACGTGTTGTTGATGATGACATCCATGATGGGCAGGGGGAATTCATCCTTGGGGCATGCAGCATTGAGGTTTCTAAAGTCGATGCAGATGCAGATCTTACCATTTTTCTTCAAGACCAGAACAATATTGGCCACCCAGTCAGGGTGTTGCTCCTCTCTGATGAAGCCGGACTCGATCAGCTTCTTCACTTCGGCCTTGATCGCCTCCATGATCTGAGGGCGAAACTGCCTCTGCTGTTGCTTGACTGGTTTGGCATCTGAGCCGATGTTGAGGCGATGTGTGGCGACCCGCGGGTCTAGACCGGGCATATCCTCATAATTTCATGCGAAGACGTCGATGTATTCCCGTATGAGGGCAATGAGGTCCTACTTCTCCTGGGGAGGTAGGCTGCCGCTGATGAATATGGGCTTGGGGTTCGCCTCGTCACCCATGTTCACCTGGAGGATTTCGTCCTCGGTTGGCGGTTCACGCTGCTCGAAGCGACTGCTCCATTGGGCATTAACGTGGCGATCCCATGTCTCGTCATAGAGCAGGATTCGTCCATCCTCCGCCATTTCGGAGGGGTCTATCGTAGCCGTGTTGATCGTAAGGCTATCGAATAGATCCCTCACGCTGACATCTGAGTCCAATGTCGAGGTTGATGACGATTGGTCCCCCGAACACGCATAATCGGAATCCTCGTTGGCATAAAAGCACAACTCCGACGAGGAGGAGGAGTAGCCTAAGCCTCTCCGAGTCCTGTTGAAGTAATTGGAAGGTTTTCCTTTGGGCACGTAAGCAGGTCGGATGACCGTTTTGCGCCCTTGACCGTAATTCAGGCCCTTTAAACGAGTGAGGTCATACCATATCTCGCTCATCATGCGCTTCGCAACCTGACTGTATTCCGAAAACTAGGGCGCTGGGTCCTCGTCTTCTGATTCATCCCATAAGGTGTGTAGGGGTGATCGACTCGACCGAAGATAATATCCTTTCGATAATGCTTCCGGGCTAGCATGACGAACATAGCTTGCGATGATTTGATTGGCTGTGCCCTCGTGACGTACGACGAGCATACCGGCAAGTGCAGGGAGGGATCGCTGTAAAGTTTTAACAACAGGTTATTAGGATCCTCATCCTCGGACGTGGAACAAGACGACAAGTAAACAAAGTCGGACTTCTCATTCATGATAATCTTCTCTGCCTGAACAGCGTTGGTTACATTATGACTCTCGTAACCAATTACAATTGACTCGAAGTCATTCAGAATATCCTTCCGGAGCCTTTTCATCGCATGCGGTGAATGGACGTCGTGACGAATATTATTCGACGTCTAATGACTTTTCTCCCATTCCGCTTACTTCTCAGTTTGGTCGGGGCACGTCGCTGGAAGTTGCCCAAGTGGTGAAGGAAGGTGGACATCGAGCCCTTCGCCAGCTGATTACAGTCCTGTTGAAGTAATTGGAAGGTTTTCCTTTGGGCACGTAAGCAGGTCGGATGACCGTTTTGCGCCCTTGACCGTAATTCAGGCCCTTTAAACGAGTGAGGTCATACCATATCTCGCTCATCATGCGCTTCGCAACCTGACTGTATTCCGAAAACTAGGGCGCTGGGTCCTCGTCTTCTGATTCATCCCATAAGGTGTGTAGGGGTGATCGACTCGACCGAAGATAATATCCTTTCGATAATGCTTCCGGGCTAGCATGACGAACATAGCTTGCGATGATTTGATTGGCTGTGCCCTCGTGACGTACGACGAGCATACCGGCAAGTGCAGGGAGGGATCGCTGTAAAGTTTTAACAACAGGTTATTAGGATCCTCATCCTCGGACGTGGAACAAGACGACAAGTAAACAAAGTCGGACTTCTCATTCATGATAATCTTCTCTGCCTGAACAGCGTTGGTTACATTATGACTCTCGTAACCAATTACAATTGACTCGAAGTCATTCAGGATTAGATTGTCGCTGTACTCGGGCTCGCTGTCTGCCTCATTGCCGCTCTCCAGTTCTTCGATCGATGGCTCGTCGGGGTCTTGGTACAGCAGAGAATCTATGAAGTAGTTCTCAACGCCTTTGAAGGGTTGCTTGTCAGCCACCACCGTCTTCACTCGTTCGTAATTATCTACGTATTTCAGGCACTGGTGCAATGTGGACAGGACTATCCGGTTGGCATGGATCCATGGACGTCCTAAGAGCATGTTGTAGGAAGGCTCAGCGTCGATAACATAGCAGGTTACCTCAGTCTTCATGTCGCTTATTCGACATTTCAGGCGGATCTTGCCGAGCGGCCGAGTCCCCGTGGCATTAAAGCCAAAGATGGTCGTCGTGGTCGAGGATAGGTGCTTCGACGGTATCCCTAAGCGCTTGATCAACTCCAGAGGGACGATGCTCAACGCAGAACCTGGGTTGACCTGGATTCGATCCACTTTCGCCAAACCGACGTACCCCGTGAAGTACAGCGGTCGGTCATGGGATGTGCTCTTGATGAGCATGTCCTCCGGGGCGAAGGTGATGCACGGGACCCGTCTCTCGGATGTTTGGCAACACGTTGTGCATTCCTGTCCTGCGTCCTCCTCCTTCGAGAAGTGGGTGGAGAAAACCTCCGAGTCGGCCAGTGCCTCTTGCAGAGCTTCCCAGGTAGACCTGGATAGTCGTAGGAGATCGAACATGGTGATTCACGCAGGGATGCTCTTCAGTTGCGCGAGCACATTGAACTAGAAATGTTGGCGGCTTGAGCTTGGCCCATCCGGGTTGGGAGGGGTTGTTGCAACTGGCCTCGTGGGAGGTCCTGTCGGGTTCTCCGCCCTCACGGGATATTCCTTCGCGAATTCCTTCCCTGCTCTCGTGGCGAGAACAGTGGCTTCCTCCTCGGAATCGGTCAGGGCGGTCATTGCCATTTCTTCCCCACCCATGATGGCGGAGACGACATGGCAATGTTTTCCCTTAACCTCTTTCGAGGGCTTTGTAGTCTATTGTTCGTCATTGATGAGGTCCGGATGGACCCACATCACTTGGCCTGACGGTAGGATCTGTGGAGCTAGACCTTTCTCTCACTGGTTGTAAGGGTCGTCATTGACAACCTTTAAGACTACCTTGGGAATAGGAGTCCTCCCTGCCGGGGCTTGGACCTCTGGGAGACCTGTTCCAAAGCTCAGGGTGATCATATTCGTGGTCACCTGCTTTTGAACCTTCTCCTTCTTTAGGACTCCCGCATCGTAAAGAGCTTGGAGTTTGTCCTTGAGGACGTAACACTTAGCCGTGTGATGTCCCATGAAACTGTGGTAAGCGAAGTAACCTGGTTCGTTGGTTTTGCCCGCCTCCTCGGGCTTCGTGGCCTCCGACAGCTTTATCCGACTGCTCTTGAGCAGAGTATCGAGCGTTGCCACCACCTGATCTTCTTTGAAGTCATAATGCCGCGGGGGGCGTGGTTCAATTTGCCTGGGTTTCGACCTCTAAGCAGCCTTCGGTGCCGGGGCGGAATCTACAGCCATGATCTCCTTTCCTTTTGTTCGAGGGGGATTCTTTGGCACGACTGATTCCGCAGCTCCTTTCTTGGGCTGTGGATCTTCGGCCTCCAGCCTCTTGATCATATTTTCTACTTGCTCGCCTTGGCGAACAAGCTCCTTCCATGTTCGGGTTTCCACCGCGCCTACTTTGGATAGGATGTGGATCGAGAGGTTATTGCAGCACATCTCAATCAGTGTGGATTCGGCAACTTGGTCCCGACAGTGGACGGACCGGTTCCGGAACCTCTTCACGAAGTCGTTGACTGACTCCGACTTTCGTTGCTTTTTGGCGAGGAGGGTGGCCATCGACACCTCCGTGTCGTCATCGAAGAAGCGGGCGAGGAAAAGTCTTTCGGCATCGGCCCATGACTTGATGGAACCAGGTTCTAACTTGCGGAACCATTCAAAGGCCACCCCCTTGAGGGTGCCGATGAATAGTCGAGTAAGAATGGTGTCGTTCCCTGTGAGGAACCCGGTTTGCGCCATGATGTAATAGATGTGTTGCGAGGGCGAGCCCTTGCCGTTGAGCTGCACCAAGCTGATTGGCTTGAACTTCGCCGGGTATGGGACTGTATCCCATTCAACGGGATAGGGTCGGACCACCCCCAACTTGTTCATGATCTGCTGAAGTTTGAGAGCGTTGAGCTGGTTTTGGAACTCGTCGAACCTCTTGTCGCGGGTGCTATCCCCAGTATGCGACGTCCCCAATGATGTCTTGGAAGAGTAGTCGGATTGCGGGCCGACATTATCTTCCGTCTCAGTTGGTGGACGATGGGGAGGTGCCCACTCCTTATCTCCTGCTCGTCGGTGCAAGGTGCGTTGGGCTCTCTTCTTCTTCTTCTTGTTGAGAAGTTGTTCCATCATTTCCCTTAGGGAGTCGATGGTCGCCTGTTGCTCCTCGAGCTTTTGGACCACCGTCTGGTCGTGGGTGACGTCAGCCATATGTGCCCTCGCCAGTGCGTCCCAACTTGATTGCGATGTTTGGGA